TAAATAACGTGAAATAAAATTAGAAGTATCCGTAATATCACTACAGGAGAGAAAACGCTTAACTGCCTAATTTCATAGGCAACTTCTTCTAAAAAACTGCAATGTTTTTAGGCTTTTTTTTGCTTCGGAAGTAAAAATTGCAAAAATAGATCCACGTTTTTTTTGTATAGAATTCATTAAAAATCAAAGGCAATTTGTGATCCAGTGAGAATAAAATCACTGTCTGCATCAACGAGAAACAACATGAGTTTGGCGTCGTACGGCTACAGATGTTTTGAATATTGTGCAGTCCTACACAACAGTTCTGTCACATCACAACAACACAAACACTAAACAACAGTGCTACCCAAACCTCTCATTTCATATCCTACCAGCTTCCTGTTGGTCCCAACACTGAGACTCAAAGTCAGTAACGTTTCCTTCACCATTTGAGACCTCTGGTTTTATTCTGAAAACTCAACATCCACAAATTCAGAACAAAGCTTTTGTTCAAATAAGCAAGTTTGTTTAGAAGTGGTTCCAGTAAGAAATGTTGTTGGTTAAAAGACTTACAAAAAAACAGGAATCTCAAGAAAGTAAATCCAAGTCCTAAAAAATATTCGCAGCTAATATGTGACTTGATTTAACAACATGGTTGCATAATATCCAGCAGGAACAGATTATTGTCCTTATTTTCAGAATAAAAGCACTCACACAACTTCTCCGTTTAAGAGAAAGTCGTCAGCTGTTTAGTTTTTCATTGTTTTAATAAGAAATCATAAAAATAAGAATGTTTTTGGTTCCTTCATTTAACACAAAGTCACTTATTGTAGTTATGCTGTTTGAAGAAATTGTGTCTTATTGTAAGAAAGTACAAATTCTTAAATTCAGCTCAATAAAGTGACCAAAATACTTATTTTAAGAATCTTAAATAGTTAAGTTTTTATTGAATGAGCCCAACTTGTTTAAATTTGTTCTATTTGTTTACGATAGTTTTAAGAATTCTAGCCAAACTAAATTGTTATTTTTGCTCAATACAAGAACATTTTTATTCTACTTAAGAATATTTGACCTGTTTCTAGAAGAGCTGCAGTGAAAATACTGCCAGCGTTATGGGTTCATTACTAAAACTATATTGATCAGAGCTCTTTGATTTCCGTCAAGCTCCCAATCCATTAAAGCTGTCAACCATCGAGTGCGATCAATACGTGTAAAGTAGTTTGAAAATGGGTTCAATTCAGCGTTTACGGCTGGCTGAGGAGGTCGGGCAGCACTGATAGACAGTAAGGACACAACCAGAAGATCCACCACAGAAACAAACAACCAGGTGTCTGACAGACGTCACAGAATGAGACTCTCTCATTAAAACAGTTGAGATTCAAAGATTAGAATCTGTTTCGTGTTTAAGTTGATTCATAAATCGTTTCCCAATGTTTCTTCCTCTTTTTCAAAGAGTCAGAGTAATTAAATTAAACCAATCTTCCCTGACATATTATTTTTTACGGCTCCGACTGAAGTCAGAGATGTCAAACCTCAACCACACAGAACCTTCATCCAGGATCTGCTATCGTGGTACTCGTAGTTTTATTCTGAGGTTTCAATGCACTGCTGCACATATTCTCCCAGTTCCTTCATTACGCCCCATTTGGTTAAAAGAGATTCACTCCCAACTCAATGATCTCTAGCTCTTCCTCCCTGGTTTGGTTTGAATGCACTTATGGACACCCATCCATCTTACCTGGTGTCAGTTGTATCAGAACTGCAGAGAATTTCTTCATCAAAAGAGCAACAAATGACTCCAAAAGATTTTTGCTCTCCTGGTTTCAGTAAAGTTTGACTACGTTATATAAAGTTCACTGATTGATTGAAGTTCGGTCGTTATCGTGACACAAATATGTAAATATTCAAATCGGTGAGATGAAAAATCAATCGTGGTATCGAGGCAGGTATCGTCTCCTCCATCTGTCAACAGATTCAAATCTAAACTTTTTTAAATGAGAAAGTCTCAGTAAACACGCAGAAAACCATATTACAATGCAAAACATTTACAATAAATAAAGCAGCTTTTGGACTTTGATAAATAAACTAATAATAAAGATCAGATGCAAGCACAATGCTGCTTCGTCCAATGAAAACCTTGCTTCTCCAAAAAAGGTCACATTTTGTAAAACCTGAGTTATAACAGCGGTTCCCAACCTTTTTATTTAAGGGACCCGTTTTTCTATCATTGAGTAAACTGACTAAGTGACGTATTTTATGGATATTTCATATTATATTAAATTACAATAACAGTAGAGAACAACTGTACAATGAACCCAAACAGGGAACTCAATAACTGCAGGATGTTTGTGTAAAACGAGGGATTTGGATGAATTTTGAGCAGATTATTTCCTGAAAACTTCAGGGAAAATATAAAATATACAGTTTATAAAGTTACTAAACTTACAGTTAATAAAGTTTTCTTACAACCCTTAAAATCCAGAAGGACTGGTGCCCCCCCCTCAGGTTTGGGAACCACTGAGTTATAACAGAGCTCGAGCTGAGAGTACGAGGTTTTCACACAGCAGCAAGAAGTAGGATTTAACGTTGATGAAAGTTCGACACCATCCAATAAATGTGGCACGATTTGACATTTACACACAGCAGAACCCTCAAAAATAAAAATATAAAATACACAGAAATATGTGCTTTTGCTTTGCACTTACAGGGCTGGTGGACGTCTTGGGCCAGGCGGGGCTGCTAATGCTATCACTGTCCTCCCCGTGACAGGAGGACAGACTAGCTGAGCTGGGGGACATGGGGGAGGGGGTGGGGGGCTTGGACACACACTGAGAGCTGTAGCTGTCCTGTGATACAAAACACACACACACAAACACACACCATGTGGTGAGGGGACGTCAGGACGGCCGAGTAGAAAATTTAAAAGATAAATGAGAATAAAGAGAGATTTGTGTTTAATGTTTCGGAGAGCACAAACACAACTCGACAAAGCGAAAGCAGCTCGGGAGGGAAACCTTGCTTCAGACGGTAGCGTTCAGCAGCTGGTAGCAGATGGACAGTCAGGTTAATGCGGCTCATTAAATCACAGCAGACAGGAAGCAACCAGCAGGTTATCAACTGCTCGGGTTCAGCCCTAAAACTCAGGTCAACAACCCTCTGAGGACCAAACATTTAGGAACAGGTGGTTTGGATTCTGATCAAAGAGACGAGAGTAAAAGGTTTTAATGTTCATTACTGACAATCAGCATCTCAAGCTACACTTATGTCGGAGCTCCCGCCCCTTTTCACTCTGTGCTTCAATAACTTAAGATGTGACTACAGGAGGTTGTTTGTTTATCATTGTATCAGAAGCATGAAATGGTCTTAAAATGACAATAATATAATTTATCGCAGTTATTTCTGGGACAATATATATCGTCCAACTGAAGTAGTTATTGTGACAGGCCTAACATCTTCCTCCTAAATAATAAATATAATTCAGTTTTCCTTTTTTATTTTTTCCTTTTGTCCTAATTAATCCTGATCAAAACCCAATCATTCCCTGCCTTGGCCTACATCACCGGTTAATGTTATTTTGAGTCATTCTGCAAAAACAATCCAGTTATCTGGTAAATAATGGAATTATTGTGAATTTTAACAGCCAACTCAGCTCCTAGACTTTAGAAGTTTCCACCAGGTTCACATTTTCCTGTTGTGTCACATCTATTCTCTGACACCTGACATGAAAACAACACACCTAACCTGCGGAGCGTCAAACTATGAGCAAACTGCTTCAGCACAACACACACAAAAATAAAAAATTAGCAGCAACAGTCTCTCAGGAGCTCTGGAGAAACACAAAGACGTGCTGTTGTAGCTCCTCACAAAAAGCAGACACTTCTCATCAGCTGAACCAGAGTCAAAGCCGAGACAAAGACGAGTCGTCTCTCGTAACCCCGACCGGCAGATCTACATCCCGCACAGATCTGTGATCAAGGCCGACTCCTCACTACTGGATAATGAGGAGAGGCAAGTGAAAGCAGAGCAGCGAGGAGGAGAAGTCAGAGCTTTCAAAACTCTCCAGCTGCTGAGCTGAGAGTGAAAACAAGTGGGGGAAAAAACAAGATAAAGCAAGCAAGAGAAGAACAAATCTAAACAGAAGCAGCGTCGGAGGGAAGTCTGGCTCATGTTGGCAGAAACTGGTTATTTTGGGGTTTTTCTATAACACACCAAAACAGCCAGATGAAATAATGACAGGTGTAACGAACAGCATGCTGCTGGAAATGCGTTGATCACTACTGTCGGATAAAGTGAGCTTAACCAGGGAATCATATTCTTTGTGAAAACTTCTGGTTGCACTAAAAAGTCGACAATGTCAATCTGAATTACAGTTTTCTTCTACAAAGTCTGACAGCTGTTTTCTGTTGTTCAGACTCACGTCGATATCTCGTTCTGTCAGGTGACTAACGAGTCCCCCGTGTTCCCCAACTTAGTTCAGCTGATTTATTTTATTATAAACTTTATCTATTCTATTTTAGGAAGCTTTAAACCAGAGCTTCCAAAAGTGGGGCTTGCGGGCCAAAGTTGGTCCACCATGAGGTTTGATTCGTCCCCACAGATGTTTTTAGTAAAACAGGACTTTTTCTTGACAATACAGGAGCAGCACTTGCTTACAAACTGTTATAAAAGCTGTGGTTTACTACATTAATGTGGCCACAGCCCATCAGTAACAGTTCAAATCAAGTCCAGTTTATTTTATTTTACAGAAAATGAATCTTCTAGAAAATTAAATTGTTGCACGTACAGTCCATTAAGGGGAATCTGGGATTCTAGTAACATTTCGCATTTTAATAATACAATACAGAAGGTGGCCGACCGTTAAGTTTCAGTTCTGGCTCTCTGAGGGAAAATGTTGAACACTGCTGCTTTAAACTTTCAGATTTCAGTCCGCAGACCGCCCACAAGTGAAGTGTAGAGGCCTCACACATCCCACTGTGGTTGCAAATGAAGCCAACAAAGAAGTAACAAAAACTGCAGTTCCTCTAACAGCCACTTGAGGCTGGCTCCAGCAGTGAGTCATTCAGAGAGCCGACCACACTGAGCTTCCCAACGGCTCTTCAGAAACCTGTGGGGGACGCAGTGGAGACTACAGACTGTTTTATTTCTACAGTCTGTAGGTCTTGCCAACTACAAAAGGTGGATAATCATCTGATCTGTGGCCATGTGAAGTGGATTTACATGTGGAGAATACATCAGGTGTTGGGGGAGCCTGGAGGAAAGACCTGAACTGGGCTCGTCTTGCTGAGGAAGTTAATTAAAGACCTTACTGACAGGGTCTCACGGCCAATTCTCCATTGCTTTGAACCAGAAGGTCATGCATGCCAAAAACGCCCCTGGTGGACTCTGGGAAGCTGTCAAACTGAAGGCAGCCCACAGGAGTCCTGAATCAGCAGAAAGGTATTTTCTGCAGTTGCAGAAGTGAAAATGTCAACAAGTTCTGGGAGGCCAGATAGAAAAAGACTCTGTCCGCTGGAAAGAGCTTCAGGCAAACAGACAACTCGAGGAAAGGTAGACAGGTCGGACCTACAGTCAGCAGCTCTGGGTGCTGATCAAAGAGTTCGGATACAAGGAGTCAAAATGAGTTCTTCGAAGGGTGTCTGGACCCCTTAAAGAAGGAAGGAAGGAGGGGTTGAGAGGAGAACAGTGACTATGTTTACATGCACAAAATATTCCGGTTGTTGCTCTGTTAATGACCTACTGTGCGTCCCACAGATTTCTCTCCCTTTCAGACTGCAGCCGAGTTGTTGTTGGTAAAAGTACAACAGCTGGAGCATCAAAAGAGGATTCCTAAGTTTTCCACCGGTAGTGGACTTTGCCTTTGCAAACATAGCCTCCCTCTTTCATTTGTTCCACCACCTTCTTGAAAAGGTCACCCTTGCAGCATTTGCACATACCCAAAAACCTGTTGATATCCAAGTTTCTCATAATGTTTAACAGTAGGTGTGTTTCACCTTCTGATCAGAAATGAGGGCTTTCCTTTTGTGTGTCCATCTCTACTCCAGCCTTCCAAGAGCTTAATGAGCTGACCGTAAACAGCAGTAAAACCTTAAATGATATAAATACTCCGGATGTCCAAAGAATGCTTTGGATAATATCAGAATATCCCACATGTGTTAATAGGAAAATGCTCCATTCAGAAAGAGGCCTAATCAGGAATAATGATGACCCTTCAAATCCGGAATATTATTATTTGGAATAACAGTGGACATTTTTGTGCCTGTAAACTTAGTCACTGAAAGGAGCAAGTTGAGGTGGTTCGGGGAACTGATCAGGCTGTGTCCATGATTTTTCCTTGTGGAGGTTCAAGTCCAACAGGGAGGAGATTCTGGAGCCGACCCAGAACTCACTGAAGGGATTATAAATCTCATATCAGACCCAATCGCCTCAGGATCCATCAGCAGGAGGATGTGGTTGAAAAAGAACAACTAACCCAAACAATACTAAGTTGTTACTGGCAGGGTTCCCACTCTTTGTAAGAAATCATTTTCCAGGACCTTTCCAATTTATTTTGTCCTGTATTGTCAGTTTTTCTTGACAATACAGGACAGCATTTGCTCAAAAAACGTGACATTAATTTGGCCGCAGCACAGGCTAGAATACATTAAAAGTTTCCAAGAAAACAGAGATTATTTCCAGGATATTTCATTATTTTTATTAATTTCCAGGTGTTTACCCAGACAGGAAAACTAGTCTCTAAAGTTTCACATTTTCCAGGTTTTCCAGGATGCATAGGAAGCCTGTACTGTGACCCGGACTGGGATAATTGGTTGACTGGATTCTGTTCTGTATGCAGAATCTAAAATACCAGTGGAGGCTGAAACTGAAAGCACTCATTCAGAAACCTGCATCAGTGCTGTGAAGATGCATTCTTGCATTAGCCTCAGCACGCATGCATCTGTTAGAACATGCTAGGAGAGCACAACAGCCTCGCTGGCACAGCAAACAGCCACTGTGATTGGTTAACAAAAGCCGAAGGACGCACCTTGGGTTTGGGTGGGTCGGTGGCGGCGGGGCAGACCACCTCTTTGCTGAGCTCAACCCTCTTGGCGTCCGGATGAGCACCCATCCCCTCTGCTGGCATCATCATGGGGCCTACAAGGTAAAGTAATAAAAGTATAAAAGTCTTCCAAAAATACTCATCAACAGGCGCTGGGATCTGTGGTCCTACCTGAGGGTGGGGCGTTGTAGGGGGGTCCCTGCGGTGTCATCCTCCCAGAGTTGCTGCCTGGTTGCTGGTTGTAGGGACCTCCAGGACCTCCGGGGCCCATTCCTCCCATTGGTGTCATGCCCAGGTAGCTGCCCTGCCTGGACACCACAGAGAGAAAAAAGGGGTTTGGATTATTATTACTCGAGATGTGATCGAGGCTGCAGCTTGCATGCAGGAGGTTACGTTGAGGAGTAAAGCGTCTGTCTCTGGGACTCAAGCAGTTAGTGGAGACAGCTGAAAAACAACAGAGAAACAGACGAAGAGAAATCTGTTCTGGTCTTCTGAAGCTGGTGGACGGAGCACAGTTAGGTCAGCGGCTGCACCTTCCAGCATGCTGTCAGACGTCCTCGTTTACTTGCAGAACATAGTGAATCCTTTTGATCTGTGAGCAGCTTAATTTATGGTCAGTCACACAACACTACTGTCTCTATGTTCAACAGGATGTGTTGTATGAACACAGCAGGGACAGGAGAGCGACAGGAGAGGAGAGGCAGGTAGAAGAGCGAGGGAGGTCGGAGGCATCCGAGAGGCAGCGACAGCTCGTAGAGGAATATTTTCATATCTAACTCAGTTGAAAGCTGCAGAACAAAAGGTTCAGTCTCAACTTTTAAGCCAACTTTGACGTTGAGTAGTCCTCGTCTACGTTGAACCGCCATGTTTGTACAGTAGCCCAGAACGGACAAACTGAGATCGAGGTGGAACCAGAGACAGCTGGTTAGAGTTTGACTGAGCATAAATTAAGCTAAAGCAGCTGTGGACATAAAAACAGTTTGTTTCCTGACGGAGACACATCAACATCAACAGCAGCAGCCCCTCTGAAGCCATGCAGAACCCGTCAGAGGAAGTGGTCTGGTTAGTAGAACATCCCATAACCTCTGTGTGTGCAACAGAGCCTGACGCATACATACAGCCTCATAACTCTCGGTTTTATTGTGAGAATAAACCAAAAATGACCACACACAGACTTTAAAGTGCTGGATTTTGAAGAAAGAGCTCCACATTTTGATTCATTAAGTCGAATTCTGCAGAAGGTTTTTAGACGACACCAAATAATAAAAGATACTAAATCCAACGAGGAACCAGTTTAAGTGTATCTGTCAGGCTCTGGTACCAAACCTACCCATAATGCTCAGAGGGGGTCTGCACGGTGGGTTGCGGCTGAGCATAGGTTCCCTGCTGGGAGTGGTGAGGAGGGTGAGGAGGAGGATGGTGGTGGTGAGGAGGGGGATGAGAGGGGTGAAGGGTAGGAGAGAGGGCAGGTCGAGCCCCGGGCCAGGACTGGTTGTGGTAGGCCGGGGAACGAGCGAAGGGAGGCCTGGAAGGACGGAGGGATGGAGGGAGAAGCAACAGAATCTTTGATTCGGTCCAAACTGTTCGACTTTCTGCAGCTTCAGACATTAAAGAATCTCAGTGCTGACGTCCAGAAATGCAACTAATGAGAGGATTTCTATTGTTCAGGATGCAGGTTGATAAAACACCCAGACGCACTGAGCTCCAACGTTAAAGCATCTCTTATTAAATATTTGATTTCTCCTCACCGTTAACAAAAAAAGTACAAAATATACATCACTGTATCGCTATGGACACTTTAAATGACTGATGTTCAGTAGAAATCAGAGATCTCAAACTCAAACTGTCTTGGGTCCACTTCAACACTACAAGTACGACAAGAAAGCTCAATATTCTGAATTTATTTCCAACATTATACTTAAAAAAACAAAGTGCAAACAGCAGTTTCTATACAT